TATGGAAATAACAACAATTTGTGATTCACAACGTTAAAAGAGGGAAAAGAAAATTTGTTGAAGATAGAACGAAAGATTGTCGAACACGAACATAACAAACCACTATAGGCGTTGAGCAACGAAGAAGAAGAGTAAATAGGGAGTGTTAACCGCGTCTTGCTGTTTTCTAGACATGCGAGAAGACGATGGATGTCGGCTTGAACTCCCAGCCGTCGCCAAACTTCTCATGAAATTAGGGTTAGGCTGCTTTTGAACCAGGTGGGGTTGCTTTCGAATCACATAGTTAATACGTTAAGCTAGCTTTATAATATTTTATATAATCGAGTCTGCTCGACAGGTTCTCGAGTTGAGTCAGGCTGTGCTCGAACTCGAGCTCATATAATATGCGAGCTCGACTATAAGCTCAAACTCAAACTCGAAATTTGATAAAATTAACTCGCGAGCACGTTAACGAGTGGAAGCTGAGCTGGCTCGTCTCACTTTTAACCCTACTCTAAACCAGTTGAGCAAAACATGTAATGTCCTATTCTAGTAATTGCTGCCTCAAAGTATCTCGAAGTCCCTCCATAAATCTGTAATACTTCTGAGGAGAAGTGTCAATCAACTGTGGAGCATACATGGATAGAGCAGTAAACACTGCCTTATATTGCATCACTGTCATATTCCCTTGAATTAATTAAAAAAAATTATGTTGTTGTCTCCTAGCAAACGAAGGCACAAACCAAGCCCTAAATATCTCTGTAAACTCCTTCCAAGTAATCATGGTATTTGCACGACCTTGAAACTTCTCATTTTGCTGGCCAAGCCACCAACGCTTTGTCTCACCATCTAACAGAAATGAAATTAATGCAACTCTCCTCTCAGGAGGACAATGTAGCCCATTCTAAGCCTTCTTTATCATCATCAGCCAATTCTTAGCTCTCTAAGCTTAATGACACCTGAAAGTCAGGGAGGCTATAACTTCATAATAGTCTACAAATACTTGACAATGTCATTAGATTGGGCACCTGAAATCCACGTATGAGCTCTCACCTATTAGTTATGCCACCAGACCTGCAATTTGAGAAACTACCTCAGAACTAATCATAGGAGCTGTACCCTGAACCTGAAGCTGCCTGATTGGAGTTCATATCATTAGTCATATCTAGATTTGGCTTATCCATCTCAGAAACACTGAATATAACTGTATGCGACACATGCATATGAAAAATAAGCAAATTGAGCATCCAAAACAACCCATAATTATCTCGCTCTTCTACATATTAAATCGTATATCTATGTTTCAATTTTCTTCTCCAACCAATTCTCTGATACCAAAAAGCTTGTCATGACCCGACTTGATATGATCTGACCCAACCTCTCAGGTTATACCGTGCTAGATCGTGGCAAGAAATAGAAATGGATACTAAGATCTAGTTGGAGAAGTGCTGAAAAACTAAACTTCCAATTTATATAAAACACAGAACTACTATTGAATATAATATAAAATGAAATATTACTGAATCTCAAAAATAATTGTGTATATATCATCTAGAAATATATGTATAATCTGAGGTCTATCTACAACAGTTCTTGACAACAAAAAATTATAATAATAATAAAAGTCAAGCTTACAAAAATAAAACTAATAAAAAAAACATACCTAAAACATAAATCAGTACCTGATATCAAAACTATTTAGCTTGCTCTTTACCCTATGTTGCATCGATACGGATACGGCGATACGGATACGACACGATACGGATACGGGACACGCCAATTTTTAAAAATACAGGATATGGATACGGCGCCGATACGACATTATAATATATAAATAAAACATAAAAATTAAGAAAGTAATCAAAGTGTAATATTTGAAATAACAAAAAAATTAAAATAAAAGTAAGCATTAAATATTTAAATGTCTAGTACATCAACAAAAACAAGAAGATAAATTGTCCAACATATGAAATTTCAACTATTCAATTGAAGGAATGATAGGATTATCTTCTTCAGTGGTTTGTCTTTGAGTTTCTATATCATCTTCAATAAATATCATAGCTTCTAATTCAGGCTCATCAAGTGAAAGATTAGCAATTTCTAATATTCCCATATCCTCAAGAGATTGAAATCCATCTCCAGCAACATCCCACATCCTGTTGTCTCCTTCCATATAAGTTGAAGTTTTCCTTGAGAGAAG